TTGAGGTCAAATGAAATGTTCAGTAGACTGTGAAAAAAATGTTTGAGGCAAGATAAGCATTTTTGTGTTTGCCAGATTCAGTCTGCATGGACGACATCAACTCAACCACATTGTTGTCTGAGACAGGTCCTGCAGAAATGGTGGGGGAAAATTAATATCAAGGACAGATCTTGTTAAAGAATATTTACTTACAGATAGAGCACAGAATCACTAAGCTGTTTTTCTCAGAGAAGGGTCCATGTGATTACCTGCATCAGGAATCCAGAGGGCTTTATAAAAATGTTGATCCCTGGGATGCATCCGTGACCCCTGAGTCAGGATCTCATCATAGGAGGCCAAGTTTTAATAAACTGTCCAGATTTAGAAAGCTCTAGAAAGCATTTGTCCAATATATGTCTGATGTGGATACTTACTAACCATTCCAGTTATAGGGTTCTCGAGCACTTTCCTGATAGGGGTAACTGGAGCCAGATTAAGGACCTATTGCCTGTTAGGACCAATTGCCTACTAGGCAATTGCCTGGAGCGACCTTCTGTAGATGGAGTTAAAATATTCCTGAAATAAACAACTGCAAACCGGATCCACTTCTGTCAAAATTGAAAACAGGGAAAAAACTTTTCATTAGCTTCAAACAGTCTTTTTTGAATATTTTTAGGATGAGCACAGGTCATAGCTAAGATTTTGAAACTTCATTATGTATGGTTCAGTGTTTTTTACTTGGCATTATTGTTTTATTTTAGTATCTAAGTCTTCAATCACTTAATGATTCCTTAAAGTGTTCTGGTTTGGGAAATTTCCCAAAACAATAACAGGAAAAACAATAAAAAACCCAAACAAACTCAAGGACAAGAGTAAGGGCAATGTAAGAGTAGGGGCTATGTTGCTTACATTTATCAGAAAATGGACACTGCCTTAGCCAGTGAAAGGAATTAGAGAAAATTCTGCTTTGGTCTAAAACATTCACTAGCAGAAAATTAGTTTCACGTCATCCCACTAAATAAATATGGAATAGAAGATGTAAAATATAGCCTTGAGAGGATCCAAAATCATTCACTTATCTCTGTTCCCATTAGCTTTGGTTGAGCCTGCATGCAATCCTGACTATTTGGAGTTATTGAATTAAATAACTCAAAAGAGTTTAATTCTAAAAAGTATTTACTGAGGATTTCCCGGTGGGCAAGTGGTTAGGCCATTGCACTCCCCCTGCTGAGGGCCCAGGTTCAATCCCTGGTCTGGGTACTAAGATCCTGCAAATTGCACGGCTCAGTCAAAAAATAAATAAATAAAATAATAAGAATTTACTCAGTGCTAATGGAAGACAGATGACCATTGTATCTACTACTGTGGGCAGGAATTCCTTAGAAGAAATGGAGTAGCCATCATGGTCAGCAAAAGAGTCCAAAGTGCAGTACTTGGATGCAATCTCAAAAATGACAGAATGATCTCTGTTCGTTTCCAAGGCAAACCATTCAATATCACAGTAATTCAAGGCTATGCCCTGACCAGTAATGCTGAAGAAGCTGAAGTTGAATGNGTGGTGTTGGAGAAGACTCTTGAGAGTCCCTTGGACTGCAAGGAAATCCAACCAGTCCATCCTGAAGGAGTTCAGTCCTGGGTGTTCATTGGAAGGACTGATGCTGAAGCTGAAACTCCAGTCCTTTGGCCACCTCATGCAAAGAGTTGACTCATTGGAAAAGACTCTGATGCTGGGAGGGATTGGGAGCAGGAGGAGAAGGGGATGACACAGGATGAGATGGCTGGATGGCATCACCAACTCAATGGACATGAGTTTGGGTAAACTCCTGAAGTTGGTGATGGACAGGGAGGCCTCGTGTGCTGTGATTCGTGGGGTCACAAAGAGTCAGACACAACTGAGCAACTGAACTGAAGTGAATGGAAGACAGGTTCTGCCATCAGTAACATGAGTAAGACAGATATTAAGTAATTAAAAGTGTTGTTATAGATATGTATTATATAACTCCTATTAGATGAGGCTCTAGCTGATAGATGCATGATATAATGTTCTTAAAATACATGATATGTAATGCAAATAAAGCCCAAGTTAAAGTGCAAGTGAATGAAAAATGGAAAAACTTAACATTTATAAATTTACTTTGAGCTTTAAATAATAAGTATATTAGAAATGTAACATTCTTTGAAATTTAAGAATCATTTCAAATTTTTATCAAGCTTTTGTCTGGGAGGCTATCCAAACTTTATTACTTGCTAACTAGATAACTAGCACAGTCTATAAATCAAACACTGCTTATATATTTTCTATGGCTAATGTTGGAGGAATGGTTAAAACTATTAATATTAATAGTTAATATGTTCTAATACCATGAAGCTGTTAGTCAGAAGTATTTGTCCAAACTTTTCCAATTGTTCACTTGTTCCCATCATATAAACAATTTATATCTACTTTGCTCTGATAAAAGGAATTTGTAATCTTTATCGATTAAAATTTCCTTATTATTGCTGTCAGTATTAAACTGTTGAACCGGAAATGCCTCATTTTTACATAATAATGGGTTCCTAAAATGCAAAGGTGTTCACCCTGAAACACAGGGCAGAATTTAATCTAGAATTATAAATCCAGATAATTTTAATCTATAATTGTAAACCCAGATAATTTTATAACTTATAAATGTAAATTTAATGTATGAATGGTGAACACACAGCTCTGAAAACTATGCTAACCTATTATCATGGCAAGCACAGAAGCATTTATAAGACAGAGATGTAATTACCTGTTAATTTCTCTGATGGGTGGTTTTGGCCTTTTTAGAGTTTAATCAATCTAATTCTCTGACTTGAGAATCTAGGAACCTAGAACATAAAATATATAAAGGGAAGCCCACTTTAGGAAGCTGGCAATCTCCCATCAGGAACGGGGTCACACAAATGGATTTCTTCCTAAATGCAACCAGAAGAAAAACAATCTGGCAGATTCAACAGCTGTGGTGGTGAATAGGTTAGGCTTTGAATCAGACAGACCAAGGCTGGAGTCCTGATTCTATAATCTTGATCATTGCTAAGAAACGGTGATTAAAAGGAATTTAGAAAGATGGTAACGATAACCCTATATGCAAAACAGAAAAAGAGACACAGATGTACAGAATAGAATTTTGGACTCTGTGGGAGAAGGCGAGGGTAGGATGTTTTGAAAGAACAGCATCGAAACATGTATATTATCTAGGGTGAGACAGATCACCAGTCCAGGCTGGATGCATGAGACAAGTGCTTGGGCTTGGTGCACTGGGAAGACCCAGATGAATCGGGTAGAGAGGGAGGTGGGAGGGGGGATCGGGATGGGGAATACTTGTAAATCCATGGCTGATTCATGTCAATGTATGACAAAAACCACTACAATATTGTAAAGTAATTAGCCTCTAACTAATAAAAATAAATGAAAAAAAAGGTGGTACATATATACATGTGCTTTTGAAGAAAAGCTTATAGATTTAAACGTACTTTTTGCATGCATTATTAAAAAGGACCACAAGTTTCTGAAGAAGAAGCAAACTCAGAGCAATACCTTGAGATTCTTGCCATTGATTCAGGAAGTAAAACATACAAGTGAAAGTTCTTTGATCTGTGGAACAAGGTTATTCTATTTGGTTCACGGGAGGGCAGAGGTGTTAAGAATGTGAGAGCTGCTTGGCCTCACTGACCTCATTTTTCTAAATGTAGCTGTGTTGTGAGACAGAGGAAGAAGGATCCTTGCTGGGCCTGCTGGTCCACCGGGCGTGTGGACCGCTGGCCCACAACCAGATGGTTTCACCTCAGGGTCCCCAAGACAAGTGAGGCTTAGTCTTCTCAAGGGGATCGAGAAGGAAGAAGCCCATCTAGACAGTGGGCTATGCTCTTGTGCTTTGGTAGTTCTAGATAAACACTAGAGACAGATGGCGAACACAGTGCAGCTCAGGAGAAGCCCAGAAATGCACATCAGAATGACTATCACATTTGACATAAAAGTGACCTTGATTTGCATCTTTAGGGTAGGTTTCTAGAGTGACTGAGGGGTGGGAATGAGGAATCCGTCAAAAAGAGCCCTTGACTTAAGAAATCTGGGCAATAGGCTTTTACTGTTTAATTGGAAACCTCATTTTGAGTGGAAAAAGTGATAACTTGTTCTTAATAAGTCCATTTTCAGAGAGGTGAGAAAAAGGACTTGGTTTGTGTTTTGGGGGAGGCTACTGCCGGCTGTCTCATGCAGACTTTGAAGAGGACTTTTGGGCTTCAGAAGCAGGTGCTGTCAGATTGCATCCTGGGTTGCACCGTCTGAATCATTTCCCCCGTCTCTTGTACCTGGTTATCAGAGAACTGAGTCACTGCTCAGACACGACACCCTGTACTCGTCTGTGTTTAAGATGGAATCTACGCAGATATCTGTCAATTATTCTTCTGTGCCAGGTGCTGGGAAAGAGGACTTCCTCTCTGGTTCATTGGGTAAAGAATCTACCTACAATGCAGGAGACACAGGAGATGTGGGTTCAACTCTTGAGTCAGGAAGATTCCCCTGGAGAAGGAAATGGCAACCCCCTCCAGTATTCTTGCCTGGGGAATCCCATGGACACAGGAGCCTGGGGGGCTACAGTTCACGGAGTCGCCAAGAGTTGGACACGGTTGAGCGACTAAACGCACAAGGGTTGGGAGAGCAAAATATGGATGAAATTCAGAGATGTCAGGGAACTCACACTCTCCAGACAGTTGAATACACAGAAAGTTATTCCATGCTAACTTCTCCTTGTCTTCTATTTTATTTAACCTACATTCTGAAATTCAGAAACTTGTTCTGAGATGTATTAGATGTGAATGAACTGCTTTTGGTACAAACACATTTCTTTCCTGGATTATGATTCCATTTATGACATATGATGAAAATCAATAAAACCAGTCGATGGTTAATGTTTGACTGAAGGGGAAGGGAGAGGCTGGGGAACCAGAGCCGTGCACTGGGTGTGGCCTCTGGGGAAGATACTTGAGTCCCAGCAAGGGTCCCAGCAGCTGAATGGAAGAAAATAACCTTTAACCACCATTTTTGTTACTTACAGAAAGGTAAGCTTCGGTATGTCTTAACTATGCTGATAATGTATTTTTTTAAGAAGAACACAATAGATGGCGAAGGGGCTTACTTAAGTTGCTGGACAAAAGTATTCCTTGAGCGGTGCTGGGTAGGATTTACTGGGAAGGAAAAGTTTATTCCTAGTGTAATAAGTTATGCTTCTGGAGCATAATTTCTTTTGCAAGTTCTTTTTATTAGTCTATATCTTCTATAAATCCATTTCATAAAGTGGTTTGGGTTAAATCAAGCTTAGTAGTAGAATTAAAGGAAAGCATAATACTTTGGATATTTACATGTGGATTACCCCCATTCCTTGTAATTAAAATATAAAAAGTGCCCAGCCCTGAGAGCCCCTGGGACTCTCATACTCTAGAAATCAGGGCCGGAATCTCATTTTCACAAAGTGTCATCTCTCAGAGGTGGTCTTTAAAAACTGCATTTTATTTACTTCTTAGAGAGTGAGAGTCAATTTAGGGATTCATAGGACTGCCTGGGACAGAGCAGAGAAAGGGAAATGTGTAGGAGGAGAAAAAGTCCTTTGTTAAAAGTAGTGGAATAGGAATTGAAAACCAAGAGACAGATCTGACTTCCCAATTGGGAAAGCAAGGTTGGTGCGTGTATTGGTCAGTTTCTGGTCCTTCTTTCAGCCACTTCGGTGGATGTAGCATTAACTAACGAGTGATTATTTTGAGATGTCAAGACATGTACAGCTTGTTAGTGTCTTCAAAGGTGCAGTCCCTGTCTATGTCCCAGTTTTTTCTTCATTGTGAGTGACTTTGAAACAGATGCCCTCTGGGCTGGCAGATGCCAAGCAGCAGACGGGCAATGCATTCTCTAACATTTTCTTGTCTTTCTGTTTCTTCAAAAACTCAGATAGCAAGAGAGGAATAATTTGAAAGAAGAAGAAAGCATATGTTTCAATGACATGGAAAATGAATGGCATTCAGCCCTCACCAGGAAATGAAATGAGTCTTGCTGAGTGAGGGTTTATCATGGACTACAGAGTATATAGTTTATGAGTCTTCAGGGTTGGGCGGATGGGTTAGGCCAGTTTCATCATTTACCAGCCAGTGGACACCAAGCAGATTGCTTAAGCTCCCTGTACCTTAAATTTCTCACCTACAGAATGGATATACCTGCCTCACCAAGTAGTTGTGAGAGTAAGTTAAAAATTAGATCAGCGTGTCAAGAACTCAGTATATTGTTTGGCACACAATAGACATTTAACGAATGTTAACTCTACTTTCCATGAGAAAAGCTGTTAACTCTACCTTTCAAGTAGGTGATTCAGGTCAGACTGAGAAGTTGCTCTTTCAATCTCTAGGGAAAGAAACCAACAGTAATGTTGCAGTAACTACATCTACCATTGTGCAAGGGAGAAACTAATTCTATGCCAAAGAAGCAGGGTCCCAAAATATGAGATAATGAGAAAACACTTTACTTTTGCTTTTTTAAATAAAGCATTTTAATGAATGTCTGATGTTTCACATATATCTTCAGTGAGAAGGGGTTGTGGTATCCTTTGAGACTTGCTAAGATGTCCCCTGGGAAAAATCATTGCTGTCATTCAAGATGAAGATTGCATATCCAATACCTTCTCCCTTCTTTTATAAAAGGCAAAATATACCCCGACAACAACTTGACTTCCTGTTCCTTTGTCAAAGGACTTCTCTGGAAAGGAGAGTGGGCTCCCACTTTTCTTTCAGGTCAAGAGAGGGGACTCTGCTCAGGAGGAAAGCTGAGCACCATTGTGCTCCTTTCTCTGAGGCTGGCAAGTGCCTTTATGGCTGTTAGTTTACACGGGTAGAAATATACAGATTTATTTGTTGGCATAAGGTGGTATTCCTTCAGAAATAACTGGTGTTGAATTTAGCAAGGGCTAGTTGTTCTGTGCTCTCTTCAATGATTAAGCAAGAAGAGGTACTGAAGTTTGTTAAGGGAATATCAGTCTACCTATTTGTTACTTGTGAGAACAAACAAGAATGTTTATTTAGGTACAAGAAATGTTGTTAGCAAAAGCTGATACTCACCCAGTGGTTGAGGTTTAAACTCATACACTCAAGCTGAGCTTTACATTTCTGCATGTGTAACAGATCAAGCTGTCCACGGGTATTGTGTATGCGGCACAAATAAAACCTAATTTCTCTTACAATATTCTGTAAGACCGACATTGAATTCTCTCATCCATGATATTCTGAGTCAGTGATTTCTTACTGCATTTTAATTATTTTAAAACATAGGACTTGTGTTTCTGAGTGAGAGAGAAATCGGAAGGGTAGACTTGTGCCCTTAAGGAATGTTAAACTCAGGATGAGCATGCCTTCCGCATGTGGAGGGTGATGTGCTTGGTCTTTGTGATCAGACTGATGCTCCTTCCTCAACCTCGCTGAGCTGTTTCCTGCCCTGTGGGATGACAACAGGTCCTGTCTATGGGAACATTGTGAAACTAAATGAAATAAGTCATCCAAAGTACATAACTTGGTAAATATTCACTAAATGCTAGCTTATTTTTTTTTTTTGTAAAGGTTTCAATTATAAAAAACCAACTCATGAGGGAGTTTTCATAGTGGTATAGCACCCTTTATGGAGATAGAATTAAATTTATTTTCCCTTTACTTTCTTGTCCATCCCAGTTGTCAATTATGACTTAATTACAGAGTCAGAAAGTTAGCCTGCCACACTTGAGGAGGACTGCACATTTTTGTTTTTAGAGTCCTTGCCTGAAGTTCATCTTGTACGAGAGCTAGTATTATAGCAAGTCTTTTGTTTTGTTTTAAATCTCAGTGTTTAAACCATATGTGAAAGTTAAAGTGTTAGTCACTCAGTCATGTCTGACTCTTTGCGACCCCATGGACTGTAGCCCGCCAGGCTCCTCTGTCCATGGAATTCTGCAGGTAAGAATACAGGAGTGGGTAGCCGTTCCCTTTTTAGCAGATCTTCCTGACCCAGGAATCGAACCTGGGTCTCCTGCAATGCAGGCAGATTCCTTACTGTCTATCCACCAGGGAAGCCCTTAAATCATATGGGATGGGATCTAATTTAGATTTACCTCATATTGAATTTCTAAGGTCAGAATGTATTATCTTGACAAAGTATTCACCTGTGCACTTCATAATATGCAAAGAAATGTATAAAGCACGAAGAAACACTGTCAAAAATAATTCAGCCACTTTTTTGAGAAACATTGGTTTCTACTCTCCTTTCGGTGGCTTAGTCAGTTAAGAATCCGCCTGCAATGCAGGAGACCACCTGCAGCGTAGGAGGCCCAGGTTCTATCCCTGGGTAGGAAAGATCCCCTGGAGAAGGAAATGGCAACCCACTCCAGTACTCTTGTCTGGAGAACCCCATGAACAGAGGAGCCTGGTGGGCTACAGTCCATGGGGTCACAAAAGTCGGACACGACTGAGCGACTAAACAACAACAAAACCCTCCTTTCAGGCTGGAAAAGACCCTTGTGATGTTGTTGTGCTAGATATGGAGGAAAGAAGTCCTATCTCTGCCTCAGGTTTCCGAGGTGGGAACCTAAACACCTTAGAGAACTCAACACTGTTGCCCTTACTGCCAACCTGCTTAAGAGGTCGGAGAGGTACCATGGGGGAGAGGGTAGCCATTTGTGACCCCATGCGAGAGCCTCCCTTCCCCCTGACCTCCTCACCCGAGCTGCCCCTTCCCTAGCCCACTCTCAGGGGAGTGCTGGGTGGGGGTAAGTATGAGCACATTTCCCGAAATAGTCCTCTACCCTCTCATAAGACTATATAACCAATTATTCACCTACTGATAAAGTAGGAAATCACCCTCAATTTTGCTTGCGTGTAAACTCAGATTTTCATATGCTGTAAGATGGGCATATCTCTATTGCAAAATTCAGCGAGAGAACAAAGGGCCTGCCTTTATGTGTGCATTGGGTGGGGAAAGGGCAAGCCACCCTTCCTTTTCCTTCTTTGGACCTTCCTTCCTCCTTTCTAATTAGCCTGAAGTGGAAGACTGCAGCCCAGATTTTACACCTTCCTGTTTGTTTCTAGCTTATTATTAGCCACTTTAATTGGGTCCTTAATTTGCCAAGAATGCAAATTGGTCAGATCCTTCTGTGATTTTTTTCTAAACCTTAAATGATGTAACGGATGCCAGAGATTTGTGAGCAAGAAGCCCACAAAGATGGGCATGATTGATCTGAACATTACTTGATGAACAATGTGAGCAAGCTTTTAATCTGATTTTTATTCCTATCTGGACTTTCTGTCCAATTTATGCTGCTCTTAGCAATATACAATGCAGAGGTGAATTAAATGGCACACAGACTATTTGGCTCTATTATTTGATCCTGATGGTGTTATGAATTCTAGTCACATTCTTTCCTTGGCCACATCGCCTATGATATTTGAGAGCAAATTTTGCACCCCTCTCCTTCTGTACCTTCATTGTTCTTTGGAAATGAATGGTTCAGCCCTAGAGCATTACTTTAATTACTTTATTACTTTATATTAATTACTTTAATTTGAATTACTTTAATTCAAAGCCCTTAACTTTCCTTTTTTTAAACAAAAAGGATGAGTATGGCTGACTTGATTTAAGGTTTGCCTATCATTTAGCTTTTTGAAAGAGGGGAAAAAAAAATCAATGCTTGTGTATTGATTTACTTGCAGGTTTTGAGACCTGGGACCTAGAAATTGCTTGCCCTTACTCAGATAAATGGGGAAATGACAGGGGAGTCTAAAAATACCTCTTGGAGGCACTGGAGCCCAGCAGGAGATTCAATCAGCTTGGAGTGGAGGCCCTGGGATGCAGTGGCGACTGCCTATATAGTGACTGGATGCGGCCCCATCTGAGGCCACCTCTGCCTGAGGATGGCAGTGCCTTTGTCAGTCAAAACTAGGGCCCCTTGATGTATTAGTTTGGTAGGGATGCTATAACAAAGTACCACAGATAGAGTGGCTCAAGCAAAAGAAATTTATCGTCTCACAGCTCTAGAGGCTCGAAGTCCAAAATCAAGGCA